CGTGACCCCCCCTTTTCCCCTTATTTTTTTGGGATGGCCCCCCCTCGAAAGCCATTTTTTTTTCGCATGGCCCCCCCCCAAATCCCACCAACCCCCCCTACCTCATAAAAAATGAACGGTCCCTTACATGGAAGTGAAAAAATCATTTCCATGCATGTGAACTAGCTGTTTGATTAAAATGGTACTATGATCAAATTTTTACCCCTTGATTTTACGTGTATCACGTAGAATTCCGTGAAAGAATAAAAACACCGTTTACTGTTTGCAAAATATCTTCATTAGTTCCGGAGATATTTAAGTTTGAAAAATGTGTGAAATATGCAAATGAGATGACTGATGACGTCATACACTCAACCCAATATTATATCAAGTCTATAAATAGAGTTATCTCAGTCAATTTTCAGCACAGACCATTGAAAATTGGTAGGCTAATAGTTCTACAGGCAACACACCTACTACTATGGAAAATTATGTTCCCATGGCAACTGACTCTTCTCCAGTCCCCACCCACTTGATTTCAATATGTTTGTAATTTTTAGCTCGAAAAACATTAAATTAGGCCACGAACTCAAGCGAACATATTTATATGCTTGCTGAATCATACATATGAGGCACCATCAGCAAATATCAAAATGGAACACCAAAGGTGGCCAGAAAAGCCTTTAATATTGGGGAGGTCTGGAACCCAGTATGTTGGTATGGTAACAAAACTGTTCAGCACATATTGTGTAGCACATTTAGTAGAATCTTACTGCAAAGAATCAAACACTTCTGATTCAAATTGGCCGAGATATCTTTCATCGTAATATTTGATCAATATTTGGTTGAGCGTATGACATCATCACTTGGCTAATTTGCATATTTTAAAAACTTGAATATCTCTGGAACGAAAAGAGATATTTGAAAATAGTAAACAGCATTTTTCTTATCATGCGGACTACTTGTTTATGTTTTAAAATGGCTTAGATAGGAAAGATGCGATTTTCGTCATAATACCACTAGCCTGCAGAACAGACGGATCAGCGGGAAAACACCAAACGAGACACACAAGCACGGAGACCGAACACGAACACAAAGCGCTGGTCGAAAATAATCCGCAGGTTTTTTTCGACCTGTGCCTGTTACGTTGCGCTCGTGCTCACGCTCCGCGCTCCTGTATCACGTTTCCTGCTCTGCCCCGCCATTCCACCTGTTATGATGGCCAATAAATTTTTGTTCTGTTTCTCTCACCATTTCCACAATAAGCTTTGAAACATCCATTTGTCGACCTGGGCAAGTTGTATACGTAGAAACCATCACATCGACGTACAGAAATTTGAAGCTTTGTCTTATCATTACAGCAACTACTTCGGTCGTTAAAGCACACCCATGCGGGTATTTTTCCCTCTGCGACCCGAGGTAGTCTCCCATTAAACCAGCCGGTTTGGTGTGTTCCACAATGACCGTAAGAGACACAGCTGTTGGCCATCAGCTTTCCGGATGCCCCGTCAAACCTGTACCATCCACTTTTCCAGCCGTAGTTGAAAGAATCACATCGATTTAGAAAACGAGTATAGTTACGAGACCTTGTGAAGTTGTTCAGGATTTCGTAATTTGTGCACTCTGTTCAGAAGAAGAAGAAGAAGCAGAAGCAGAAGAAGAAGAAGAAGAAGAAGAAGAAGTAGAAGCAGAAGCAGAAGCAGAAGCAGAAGCAGAAGCAGAAGCAGAAGCAGAAGAAGAAGAAGAAGAAGAAGAGAAGAAGAAGAAGAAGAAGAAGAAGAAGTAGAAATTAAGAAAAATTTCCTATGCAAACTAGAGTAAATATGATATCAAAACTTGAGCTAGTCAACTGATCGAATTCTAATTATCTACAATATAAATTCGTAAAGAAATATCAAACTCCGTGTACATGTTTATGGAGAAACAACGCAAACAAAACATATAATGATTCAAACACCAGTTTACATGTTACCAGGCCTAGGTAATTTAGGCTTGTAATGATCAAGAAATTCACGACTTATTAAATTAGTATTATCTCTTTCACTCATCTTCATAAATACATGCACACCATGCTCTACTTAATTCAGCGCTCAAATTATTCTTTTGCCCTTCCCTCCATCCCTCTCTCTTAGTCTCTCCGTCCCTTCCTCTGTCTGAATGCTTGATGGCTTGTTTGTTTGTTTCCTTCCTTCCTTGGCTCATCTCTACCTTCATTTCTTCCAACTTCATTACACAAATACATTCAGTCAGTCAGTCAGTCAGCCAGACAGTTAGTTATTCAGTCAATCAGTCAGCCAGTCAGTCAGTCAGTCAGTCAGTCAGTCAGTCGGCCAGTCAGCCAGACAGTCAGTTGGTAAGTAAGTCAGTCAGTCAGTCAGTCAGTCAGTCACTCAACCAGTCAGCCAGACAGTCAGTTAGTAAGATAGTCAGTTAATCAGTCAATCAGTCAGTCAGCCAGTCAGACATTCATTCTTTTCCTCTCCATTTATGTCTCATTTAACTAAGCTACGTCAACGATGAACTGTTTACTGCATCAACCTTAATGCCTAAGGCTTTGTGCACTTTGCCCACAAACATTGTCATACAGATCTCACAATTTGATTTTTAAAATAAATTTGCCAGCAAACTAGAGCTACAAAATTCGGCAACCAACAAGATTGAGTGCCCATGAGATTGTCAGTTACGTACCACCTTCAGTCAGCATATAAACATAGTTTGCATAGTTTCGCCCCACGAAAGCTCCTCCTATGGATTGGCAGTTTAGAGATACTCCGTATTGATTATATTGACCAGGCAGACCCCAGCATTCCCCGAAATACTGGATACCAAAAAATGTCGATCCGTTTTCTTTCGCCTGAGGATGGAGACGTCACATAAGAAAAGGAAAAACCCTAAATTATTATTGAGATACTGACTGTAAAAATTCAGCTTAAAAAACTGTATCAATAAACGTTGATTAAAATAGGAATTTCATACATGTAATTCTTTTGCACTGGAAAATTCAAAGTTGATAGTCCTTGAAATGGGATGTTTTCAAATTAATGACCGTCCTTACTATAGCGAGCTAACCGACTTGGTATCGATAGAAATCATAGTTTATAGATGGGAATGGTTATGAAACTCAGACAAAGTTCTTTGATGTATGTTTTTGTTCTCTTTTTTGGCCTTGACCGTGCACAAGACACAATGCCGGGTTGTTTACTACTGACTGCGGAACTAACCAATGGAAACTTTTTGGTTACGTAACTCATGCAAAGTGTATGAGCGAGAAAAAAAAGATTGTGCACAGTCGTGGACCTTCCAACATAAATCTTGGCATCTTTGTTTGCTCCTTTGATGTTTGCCTGGCTTCATAACAACCCCCTCTATTAACTATGTACAAATACAATTATTATTAGTGAGTGATATTGATAATTAAATAAGTTATTGCTCTTATTTTCTGTTGAAATTCTTGTACAACTGACGATGGATGACGTTTCATCCGAAACAGGTTTTGTCATTTAATATAAGATATCAATTCAAATACATCGTTTGGTTTGTGGAAGCATTTCTACTGAGAGAAAAGTAATAATAGACATGTACCGTATTGTGGGGGGGGCTAGGTAAAGACATGTACATGCGCATCATCATCTGTATGCCTTGCGGACCTATGTATGCGATGGCAAAGATGCTATGTTTTATTAGTTTGCTTGATTAACTGTGTTGCGGTTAATTGAAAACGGCTGCTAGAATGTCGGGTTGGTAGAATCAGTATTTATCTGAACAAACCAGTATCCAAACCAATGCAAGATTAATCGTACCTTGCGAGCGCATTTGTCGACCACAGATGTTTTCAAGTCATTCCAGTCCATTGTGTTGTCTTCAGGATTTCGGTAACTTGCAAGAAGTGTCATTGCTCGACGATCAGGTTTGTCTTTAAAACATCCAACGCGCACATAATTCACAGTAGCTGTACGTAATTGAAACAGTTAAAACCGAGCCGATTCGCTTTCGTTCAGTTTTGAGAGATTTGAATAGAAGAGAAAAATACAGACCCAGAAAAAATTAAACAAAGTCTATTTTGAATCTTACTTATCTTGATACATAATCATATAGGAAATTAAATCAATTAACTTGGCTCCGTAGGCTCAGTGGAACCATATAGCACTTCAGAATCCGCATATAGTGCGATTAATATTAAAATCAGACTGCAAGGAAACTCTTCCGACATAAGAGATATAACTAATGAATCGGCAAGTGGACTCAGAAGTTAATGGCAATTAAAAGATGTAGGTATGAAAAAAGGTTTTAGTAACTTACACTGAACACAGGTCTGTTGTGAGATCATGATCAAGATAACCGCAAATGTGCTGCAGATTGCGTTTCCTCTGCGAGCCATCTTGTCTGACAATCAGGTCAGTTATTACCGGAAAAAGAAGCATTATTAACACTTATTTTACGACAAAAAAGAACCTAACCAGTTAGCATTCAGATGAAAAATGCTTGATGATTTTCCAAAATGCAGCCTTTTAACTTGCATTTAGTAAATTAAAGTGCACTCTTAATACACTGTATATTTACGTTCTTGTTCTGTTTTTTTTTTCTTTTTTTTTTGTTTTTTTTTTTTTTACTTTCGCCTATATATAACACGGCATTTTACCTTACTTTAACTACAGAGAGTAGCACGATGATGAATAAGCTAGAGTTAACTGAAAAAAGTCCCTTGACTCACCTTCTTCGAGATCTTACGTTTTACCAGTGCAGTTAGAACACTCTAGCCATCAGGTCTGATAGATATCACATATAACTACCCTATTTAAACTTATGATCGTTAATGGATTTAGGAAGTTTTTAATGTTCATTTCCGTCTTGTAACCAAACACGGAAACTTTGCATACTTGTTGCCTTTTGTGCAATTTTCAATTCAATTTTTTAATTGTCCGGTTGCAATGATAGAAGAGTGAAATTTGTTTTCTGTGGCTTTAAATTGAGGCTTTTTAAGAGCTTCTTTGACAAGACCATGGAAGTTGTTTTCTTCCGAGAGGAAATACAGGTAATTAGCGACATGCTGTACATTAAATCAAATTAAATGAAGCGCTGTAAAAAGAAATGTAGAGATAACATCACAGCAAAATGATGTCAAAAAGATAGAAATCATTTGTCCGGTCATATGAGAAGATATTATACATTTACATTTCAGTTATTTTTTAAAAAAGAAGACTTTGGATCTGAAATGCGCCCAAGAAAACTTTTATAAGCACGGCCGAGATCTTTCTATGAATTTGTTCTATAATCTTGCAAGGAAAGAAAAAACAAAACAACGCCAAAAGTGGTGAAAGCAACGCAACATAATCTAAAAGGAAACGATCGCTCAAAAGTGGTGAAAGCAACGCAACATAATCTAAAAGAAAACGATCGCTCAAAGTTTCAAAGAATGGTAATTTTGATACTTTGACAACCAGTGTAATTTACTTAAACCCGAATAAATCGGTACTTCTTCCCCGAAATACTTGTTCTGTTTTAAAATCCTTTTATCCAGATTATTTATACATTAGCTTATATTTGATTGCATTTGGAAACATGAACTGACAAAAACGAAATGATAATTAACCTGAACACTGCCCCTTTAATATTACACCTGCTAAACGTTTTAAGTAGGTGCATTTGGTATTTGACATATCGTCAGTTATAATGCATGCACATCTAACTTTGAAAGCACTCAGCATGACCGAGAGCAACAACTTCAAAGGTGTTCGGCCAAACCAAAACGACGTATATCCATTAATGGAAACCTAAATATAACGGTGTGTTTGAGTTTGAGTCAAAAGTCACCAACAGTAAGCTAGGTGCACTGAAGTCAGAAAATTGCTGCTATGATACTACGTACGTTGTGATGCACCGTTGTCGTTTCTCGAAAAAAATGATAATATAGCTACATACCTGCTATTTTTTCTCCATTCAACGATTCACATAATAGCATCGATCTTCTTCATAGTGTTGTGAAAGCATTTCATGTACCAGCTTAGGTACAGGCAAGAGATTATCAAGGTACGATCTCTTGGTACAGGTATGAGGTATAATTTTCGCCTGTTTTGGCCAAAGGAGTATCAAAGTCGTCCTAAGAGGGTTCCTTTAATTGATTACATGACGAACTGGGCAGTCTGAAATTCTGATTGGTTCTTGGTTATGCCTTAATTTTACTATACTGCTTAGATGGAATCAAGTTGAAATTGAAACCCTTCCCTATAATTAACGTATAGATTTAGGCCAGCCTAAAAGCTAAGCGTAGCTCCTGGGCCAGGTTGTTCAGAGCCCGATTAAACTAACCCAGGAAAAGGTAGAATTTTGATTTTGAGTTTTGTAACTTCGGCTTTGCGGTGAGGTTTTCTGTATATTGTTTGGCCTTCTGTTTTGAGTTTTAATAATCATCATATACAACAAAGCAGTAAAAACAAATTGGTAGAGATGAAAAAGATATAATTTGGTTGACTTTTAATCCTGCGTTAGCGTTAACCGGTTTCCGAACAAAGCTACCCTGTTTTCAACAAGTTACATGAACCCGCGATGCAATCGAAAACCAGCACTTGGTCAGCGGTCAACTTAAAAAAAAAACACGTGACCTCGATGAGCTGTAAGCTTGAGCCCGCGATATGATGACGTGTACCGGTCAGCGGATACCTTGTTTTGACAGGTGTCAATTGATCATAACATGATGTCCAATATCAAAAAAGTACACGGTAAACCAAGGCTGCATGTCTCTGTCAACCTATTATTTGGAGTATGGCCGCCATGTTGCGCGACCTCGTCGTCGTCGCCGTCGTACGTACGCGCCCACTAGCAATACCGCTATCCATGATAACCATGAGGAAATCAACTCATGGGTTTCCTTTTCTTTCCTATTTGAGTATGGGGCTCCGCTTGGCGGCTCTTCGGACCGCCGGAGCACCGCTAAAAAGTAAGCCGAAGAAAAATTCCATGGTGGATTGAAAAGCACATCAGTGCTGTATTTAAATTCGTCGCACACTTTGTACTCAGTTGACTTTCTTAGGTAAAGAAGAAACCGTCTGATTTCTCAGTTGCAACAACGGCAAAAACTTGTAATCTCGCATGTCCAATCAGCAAACTGAAGAAAATTTTCCAAAATTATGGAAAAGTATATTTTACCTTTCTGTGTTTGTGAAATAATGGGTTATTCGTTACACATATCTTTTGTAAGCTTCAATTTTTATTTTCAGTTAATTGGCTTCACATAACACACTAATCACGATACGTTTAAAAGGTTTCATCACCCCGTTTATTACTGCAGTGATTGATCTCCTTTTTGAAAACTTTTTTTTTTTTGTGATCAAACTTGGGTCGATCGTCTTCAAATCTCTAATGAAGCTCCATTTCCGCAATAGGCCTTTACACATCGCTTAATGTCGTTTTTCAGCTTATATACGAAAAACGACGAGCAGTTACGAATACCAACGGTGACTTTCGATTCAGGGGGACAGCACTTCCTGTTCCAACTGAAACAAACAGGTCCGCTCTGGATTCCTTCCTCAACCTGTAATTGTGGCAAAAAAGGGAAGGCAAGTATAATTAACTTTGGTATATATCACACATTTAACTTTTGTCGCTGTAATAGTTGATAGGTGCACGCGAGACGAAAGTTAAACCAGACAAAAAGAGTGACCCTGCAAAGTTTGGAAGCACATATTTAAAAAAGAATCCCAAAATAAATGGAAAACGAAACAGTTGAAAAGTAAATCCGTTATTCAATGGCTTGGTATATATAACCCAATCAATAGTTCGGTACGTACATGTAGATAACGTAAGTGAGGCTAATCGTATAAATGCGAGTGCAATTTTAAAAGGACTATTTTACACTACGAGTGATATTTGGAAAAAATTCTCTCAACTTTAGGCAAATGCAATTAGAAAAATATTTCAAATATCACGAGTAGCTAATGTAAATTCCGATTGTAAGAGATTTCATACAATAACTCACTTGCCATGTGACTACGAAAACCACGAACGTACCTGCATTACTTATTTGCAATCCAGTGCAAATTAAAAGTTATAAGATGATAGATTTGCCTGCCTCAGCCAATTACAATAACGTAACTTTGTCAGTCATGCTATAAGTGTTTAAATCATTACAAAAATTGTTCGTTTTATCCTCGGAAATATCCAGCATCACTTCCCCTAGATAAGATAATAGAATATTTGAATTGAAAAACAAACAAACAAAAAAAATGTGGACGATGACCTTAGGGTATGATCCATTATACCAGCCAGTGCTGAGCGTCTGGCATTTCCCAGGGTCTACACATTTGTCCGCCATTGCATTTCCTGCCGCGCCAGTGAACCTGTACCAGCTGTTTTCGTCCAATCGTTTGTGGTCACACCTTAACGGCTTTGCTCTGTCGGTCACTTGATTCTGAGATCGGTCAGCATCGTCAAGTTCTTTGTAGTCTTTACACTCATTTTCTGCGCACACAGTAAGAAATTAAGCCCTTTGCAGCTGGGGTCACGTGAGTAAATGTTTCCTAGAAAATTTTATATCATGGGCTATAACTTAAATGGAAATGGAAAGAGCGCATCGAAAATACCAAAACGGCCAAGTTTGACGACCCAGGAATTAAAGAGTAAGTTTATACGAGTATTATAAGGAAATTTTCAAGATAGAAATTTTTCAAGGTAGAAACATCAACTCGGAAAAAATCCGAGTTCTAGATGGGATTTGAACCCACGACCCTCCGTGATCTAGTCGGATGTTCTAACCACTGAGCTACTGGAGACTCTATGTTTAGCAATGGTGAAATATGTGGGTCTTTGACTGGAACCGCATCGCGCGGTCACACAGCCAAATGATGTCTAGGCGCATATGAACTCACTGACTGCATCGCGCAGTCACATTAAAGCATATCAAAGATGCAACCAACCACCCTCCAAAGTGAGTATTATAAGGAAATTTTCAAGGTAGAAATTGAACCCACGACCCTCCGTGATCTAGTCGGATGCTCTAACCACTGAGCTACTGGAGACTCTATGGTGAGCAAGGGTGAAATCACGGAGAAGAAATTCTACCTTGAAAATTTCCTTATAATACTCACTTTGGAGGGTGGTTGGTTGCATCTTTGATATGCCTTAATGTGACTGCGCGATGCAGTTAGTGAGTTCATATGCGCCTAGACATCATTTGGCTGCGTGACCGCGCGATGCGGTTCCAGTCAAAGACCCACATTTCACCCTTAAGACCATAGAGTCTCCAGTAGCTCAGTGGTTAGAGCATCCGACTAGATCACGGAGGGTCGTGGGTTCAAATCCCATCTGGAACTCGAATTGTTTTCCGAGTTGATGTTTCTACCTTGAAAAGTTTATACGAGAGTTTGAATTTTCGGAAAATTTAGAGGATTTGTATGGAAAATGTTGCTGGAGAGCAAGACTTTGCTCTCCAACAACTTTTTCCATACAAATCTTTTTATTCTTTCAACAATTCAGGTCGTCAAAAAAACTCATTCTTTAATGATGGGGGCCTCAAACTCGGCCATTTTGATATTTTCGACATGCTTTTTCCGTTTCTGGCATTTGTGAAGCTATAGCCCATAATTTTATGAAATATAGGTCACGTGATGGCTTAGCTGCAAAGGGCCTATTAACAGCTGAGGGAATTATTTGTATTTTTCAATAACAATAAACTTTGTTTCCAATGGAACATCTCGTGCAAGCCCTTGCTCACGGCTTCACTTTCGAATTACATCCAGTTGCAATTAATGTATTCTTGCATTTTTATAACGCTATGAACTGAAACCCATCCTAAGTGGTCACCACCTTATCTAGTGGATGGTTTGTGTGTCTTAATGCCCCTAGAGCTATGTCAGCTGGAGTCTTGGCGAGCTCCTGATAGAGTGACCCATTCTGAACAGGTTGAAGGGTAGAGACCAGACGAGGTGTGCCCCTCTGGTCCTCTAGATTGAGCGTTGTGCTGGGAGCTGATAAAGTACTCTCATAAAAATAAGACTATTACTGAAACAGGAGACATTCAAATCCCTATCAACATCGGTGAAATGACGAGGTGACTGTGGGAGCAATAGCAGCAAATCGAAGGGAAGGAAAGAGAATGTCAAAGCCTTGTGTGTCTTATGGCATGGAAAGATATCTATATAGGTCGGTGGGTATGAAATGAAACAAGTCTGCCCGTTTCCAACTAGGAGTGCCGATTGTGAAACGAGCCTCAGTGATTTCTGTTTGCGACCACAGAATTTCAACGGTGTTAACCTGCCATCAGGCGTTCTTTTTTTTTTTTTTTTGCAAAACCGGTGGTTGCACTCCAGACGTTGCCATTCTGTACCTAGTCCTGGGTTCAAAATCTCATATAAGCCATATTTATTGTTCAAACCTGTGGTAAGCATGTAGACGTAGTTTGCTCGTTGCTTGCCTACCAACGGAGCTTTCCGAGTGCATCTTGATGACGAGCCGTGCTTTGCGTAGGTATTCTCGCTGTCTGGTCCACTCCAGCATTCCCCATAGAATTGGATTGCGAAAAACGAATATCCCTTTCTTTTAGCCTGAGTAATGATAGTCAAAGAAGCAATCTTTTTTGTTGTTTATAAAATGTACTGTACGTTTTAACTTTTTCGTCTGATCTTTTGCTTGGCATTTACTTATTTATTTATTTATTTTTTGCGTCGTGACTTTCACTATAACCCGCTTATCGAAGCTTTTGCTCTTTATCACTAGCTAGTCTCCCACTCTTGCTTGTGAAGCTGTTTTGAAACTGGGGTGGGTTAACAGTGGCTATAAGTGTTGTGTGCACTTCATATGTTTGTGAACTGTAAAAGTACGCAAAGTACAATAACAAAATGTCCTGAGTTTAACTACCTCGATTCTAAAAGTTCAGGGGTAGATGCACAACAAACAATCCAAGATTGATTTGCAGCGTGTAAAGGTAAATACTGCATTCACCATTAACAACTGATTGGATTCTAGTTATTCCTTGACAATGAAACTAGAAGTCAAATAACAAATTTTTGGTTATGCTTTGTAAACGTTCGTAATGACTAGTTTCAACCTAGGAAATAAAACAAACTACGCAACACACCTTAACTGCACATCTTTGAATCACTGAACTTCCCAAGTCTTCCCAGTCCAAGACATCTGGATACTTTGTAGTTTTCACACGATAGTTTTCTAGCAGTTCGGGTAAGGTCCTGTTTGACGTTTCATCTTTGTAGCATCCAACTGGAACGTAATCTACATTATCTGTGAACATGTGCGTTTTAAACCGTCAGGGTAATCAGACATTCAGTTCCTTTTCCTGCAAAAGGACAACTAAGCGAGGAGTCCAGAGCAGTACAAAACTGTTAGAAACGCCAGTTGTTAATTCAAGGTGTAAGGACATGGTGGACTGCACTTACGTTTGCTATATACCACCCTATATCAGGATTTGATACCTAGGTTAAGTTTACGACTGGACCCAGTGGACCATCAGCCTGGCATTTGACGTCGGTTTCCGTAGCATGAAGAGACTCCTCCCTTGAATGGGATGCTAGTCCATCGCCGGCAGCGTTACCCGCTCCCTCCCCCCACCAGCATTGAATTTGCCAATACCATTTGTATACCTTAAATTTTCGAAACCCTGAGGTGTCTCTGAAAATCACTTTAGCCTCCTTAACTGAGCAATACAAAGAAAGAAAGTCAAATAACCAATTGCAACTAAGCATAAAAAAGTTGAAAACTTACCAAGGCTAAAAACTGCCCTTGTAAGGACAAGCAAAACGACAGCGGTTGAAACGAACATCCTAGCTTGAGTACTAAAACAGGTAAAGATTAATTTAAGCTGATTAAAAAAAAAATTCAGTAATCATTCACTCACTCACTCACTCACTCACTCACTCACTCACTCACTCACTCACTAACTCACTCATTCAAACACTCGCTCACTCACTCGCTCGCTCACTGCTCGTCATGCCGACTGGCATACAGGGCAGCAACAAAGGACCTCCACAGCTGTCTGTTCCCCGCAAGTTTTTGGATGGAGATCCTGCTGTGGTCCAAGGCCCTCATATCTGTCTCTTTGTTGCTTCGCCATGTAATCAGCTGTTGCACTTTATTATTTCAAGTTTAGTGAGTATGACTGACAGACTGCTAGTAGCCAGTCTTTTCAGCGTTTAGTCCCGCGAAGCGCAGCAAGGCGGTTTTCTGGTCTTGCGTCGAGTGATAACAGAATATTACTGACCAGTGAAACGAACAAGACTTAGAAATATTTTCACATTTTGACGAAGCGTTATAATTTTGTACTACCGTGTTTAAACGAAATAAAAATACAACTTGGACAGTTTTCAAATCAACAACTAAATTCTTGTCTGCAATTTTAAACATTGCAAATAGTCAGGTGGCTTAACGCAAAATTTAGGCTGGATCGTGACAAGAGTGATAAAAGCATGAAATTTGGCACACAGCTTGCTTATACTCTACCAAATGATATTAGAAGGGGTGCCCATGTCAATCTGCTCACGCTCCCGTTTTAGGGAGATTTTAGTTTTTGACCAAAATCAAGATATGTGATACCTGTGGTGTAAATCTATTTTATTAGCAAATGCAAAGAAATGCTTACAAAA